ATATATATATATATATATATATATATATATATATATATATATATATATATATATATATATATATATATATATAAGTGGGAGAATAACAAACGTCTGTTACAATTTTAAATCGAAAACATTACTTCCTTCTGAGGACGAAACGTGATAATTAGGAATTTGTACATTTTTTTCATTCGATTACGCACTATTACGTTTGATATGTATATTATATTTTTCAGATAGATAGATAGATAGATTGTGGACAATGTATATTTTGATAAATAGCAGCAATTCTGTGTAAGAGCTTTTTTTAATATATATAAATGGCAAAGAAGACATGGAAAAACAATTGGAACAAATGGAAAACCGAACTGATCAATCAATCGATAAGAGCACCTGTGTATTCACATTTACCTGATTACTTAACAACAGACAACTTTTCTTGTGTATTACACGCGACAGGCTACAAATAAGAATACCAGTCCATAAGATAAAGAAATGATTGATTGAAAAAATCTTTTCTCTTTTCTTTTTTTTTTTAATTATCATTTATTTTGCAATCAAGCCGACCATTCTTTTTATATTTTGCATTTCCCTTATTATGACTAAATGTGTGAAAGCAGTAATTTTGTGTCTAATTTTAAATCGAGTTCCCAAGTACCCATCCAACCTTCCAACCACAACCCAACCCGACCAGTAAGCGTCATTTTCAGACTAAGTCCAATAAATAAAGAAAATACTGTTCGTAATATTTGCTCTGTTACTCGCTGCAAGGCATAACTCATCTTACAAGTGTCACGGAAGGAAGCGCGCCTTAAAGACAACTACAAGATTCTTCTAATAGTTTTTACATTAGGTGAAGAATTTATACACTTAGGTGTGTTTAAGGCGCATCTCTGATCTTGAGTTGGTAGCATTCAAGTTGACAGAGTTAAAGGTAAAACTTATAAAAATTGTTATAGGCCATATAGTGGAAATTTGTGGTAATCAGAAGATTCATACTAGCTCGGCAAATAGTTACCTGTAGATTTAATAAAAATTCACACAGTTCCGGAAGTAAACAGCAAATATAACCGGAAGTAAATGTAGAAGGCTGCACGATAATGAAGGATGCTATGCGCAGTTACTTCTTCGGATCGGGAATGTGAATTGACAGTCTTCTTAACCCACAATAGATAATTAAAACAAACTAAAAATGGCGAAAGATATTTAACTTAAAATAAAATTCATGAATTAGTTATAAAAACAAGAGAGAAATTCCTCTTGTAAGAGAGCGTTCATATTAATGCATCAATTCGACGATAAGAGATTTTTAAATTGTACTGCAGTTTTCATTCATTTTATTTTAAGCATTTCGCCCCAAGCAAAGAAGCTGTGCCAGTAGCACGCAGATGGTTACAAAGAGTGAAAGTGAGAGAAAAGACTGGGTTTTAGTGGGGATTGAGGAAAAGATAAAAGATGAACAGGGTTCAAGTCAACAGAAAATAGCGGTTGACACTGCATTTAAATTTTTGAAGATTATAGTTATCAGGAAAGAAAGTAAGAGGAAGGGAGTTCTACTGTTAGGAAGTGCAAGAAAAGAAATTGTTAGAGTAGAAGTGTCGACTGCATTTAGTTATTTCAACAGTAAATAGGTAAGACTAGATGCCAATCTAGTACTACGCTTAAGTTCATGTAGTCGGGGCACCAGGGAACAAAGTTTGTCAGATCAGTTGCCATGGAAATATTTGTAGAAAAGACAGAGGGAACCACATCACATCTGTGAGAAAGTGACTGAAGCCGAGATGCCAATGAAAAAAGTTGTCTTTGGAATAACGTTTTACATACAAAACTATTCAAATTTATTGTTGTTAAAAGAAGGAAAACGGTTATTTCTTTTCCTCTGATTGCTATTTTTATAATTTTAGTTTTAAATTGAAAATTTTCCAGGAATAATTGTCAAGATGAGATTCAAAAATTAAAAAAAAAAAAAACTTCCTGAAGCTTATATCTTTATTATGAAAAACAAAAGCAGATAGACTTTGATTTTTAAGATAAGGCAAACTAGACGAACAAATAGATTTCAACTCTTTTTCTTTCCGAAATTATTGGAAATATGATCAACCAAAAAATAAATCGATACATCTAAGGGTTAAAGCTGCTGCTAGCAGAAAATGTAAACGGGTATGTGTCTTATTTTGGGATTTAAATTATGGGTAAAGGCTTAAGAGGACTGCGTGGGTTGATGATTGTCAGGCAAAAAGTAAAAGAAGCAATGAGAAGGGAAAATGAATTCTAAAAACACGGACGAAGGGCGCCGTTTCTTCTCTCTCTTTCTCTCTCTCTCTCTCTCTTGAAATCAACAGCACTCATGGTACGACTTTTAAAGATCAGGTGATCCACATATGATTTTTACACACATGCAGACACAAATATACATGTACTTGTGTGTGTGCGTGTGTGTGTGTACGAGTGTGCCTGCTTTCACACCGGTATTTTGTGAAAACATGTCTTGGTTGGTTATGATTTCCTTTTTGTGTTTTTTGCTTTCAGTATTTAATTTTCAAATCGTCTGACATTCTCAAGTTTTAATAAAACCAAACATTATCCTAGACAACTGTACACACAAAATAATAATTTTCGGTGTTAAATTTGATGTATTTACTGAAAAACGTACCCCCACTCCGCACACACACACACACATATATATATGAGTACAGACGATCCTTAAAAATCCATTCGGTTATAATTTATTTCAAGAATATACAAATATTCGTCTCTTCAGACCCAAGAGTCAATTTATCTAGACAAAAGGGAAAGGGAGAGGAAAGAAGAAAAAAAAAGGAAAAAATAAAAATAAAAAATTTAATGTTAAAGAGGAAGAAAGAAAAAGAATAATTTCAATATAAAAATTAATGTCCTTCTTGGAATTATGCCTGCTTATTATCAATTGTTATTACACACACGCGCGCGCGCACACACACACACATATATATATATATATACAGACGAAATGAAACACCTTTTTAGATTGCTCACGTTTTTGGTATGGCTATCGAAAAAAAAAAAAAAAAAAGAGAAAACATTTTAAATGTCGAAAATCAACCCCATAAGGCATTATTCATGTTCTAAAAATGTTTATTTTAATTTATTCTTATTATTAATTAGGATTATTACTATAGGATGTGTGGTTAGCGTCTCCATTATCGGCGCAGAAAATGGACTCGGAGTGCCGATTTCAAATTCTGAAAGTGTTTTTTTCACTCACTTAGAATTTTAAAAAAAGCAGGAATCAATCTTCGTCAAGCTGTATGCTAAAAAGCAGGGCCTTGGATGGGAGTCAATCTAGGAGAAGGAAAACTCTGACATCAAGTCTCCATAAATAATAGGGCAGACTGGGCTCTTTAGCCTTGGCAGAGAAACCAGTCTGAATTAAAAAGCCAGCCTGAAGTGGGTTGATCTCCATAAAGCTATCTTGCACGAAACACACCCACGACAGCTACAGTACAGATGGTGCCTCAAAAACTTGAATGGGTTACAGCCAGCGACGTGCTTAGCTTATAGCTTGTTCCGCTCATCTAAACAACATTTCATAATTGAACATCTATAAAATATGAAGAAATATTACATTTTATTTTGTTTTGATTGAAAAAAAATGAAAAGATGGAAAAACATTGTTAATAATGATTAGAAAAAAAGCTTCTTTTTTTTTTTTTAGTAAATAACAACTTTTAAATTACATTAATATAGGCATTATGAAAAACATCCTCAAGGGGTAACTAACTGTTTAAATGTCCTGTTTATTATTCAACCATGAAGTGAATTTAGGTAAAAATGGCGCAATTACGCATGCTACTTTAATTGTACTACTGTATTTGACGGCATATAAGATGCATGAGTGTATAAGACGCACCCCAATTTCAGCAGGGCAAATCAAGAAAAAATTAGTAATTAGTAAAATCATTAGTAAATGATACAGCCTAGGCTATATTTATGAGGTATCATTTTGCTTAAACAAGCCATGATTACAATTAAACGAAAAATAATAGCCATCATTTACAAAACGAAAAACAATAGGAAGAAAAGAACACGAGCTTATAAAATCTTTATTATATCCAGAGGTAAGAAATCAAAATAAAAATCAAGCAATTATTATTACAATTGAGCAAAACAGTACAGTTACCATTAAAATTCTATTCATCTTCAAATCCATAAAATTCGCCGTCTTCGTTATCAAAACTCTGATACTCATTTTCAATATTACTATCATCGTCGTTAAATAATGCGTCATCTAATTTCGGCCGACTATCGCGTATTTTAAACCTGCACATGGCATATAAGACGAAAGGGGTATTTTAAAATATATTTTTAATAGAAAGTGCGCCTTATATGCCGTCAAATACGGTAATTCATCTAAATACAAAGTAATAGTAGGCGTAATATATTTAGTATGCGTGTGTGTGCACGCACGTGCGTTTGTGTGCGTGTTTATCTATGTAAATGTATACCTACAACGAGAGATTAGATGGATTAAGTTCTTCACTGAGTATTTGAACATTCTTACATATGTCCAAGAAAAATACAATCAGCGAGTCATTTAATGTTACTGCAGACAATAGGTGATAATTATTAGTATGACTCTTAGCAGTGAATGAAAATGGCTGTAGGTTCGAATGGAAAAAGGTACGAATCGGCCTCTTCTCTTCAAAGCTATGAGTTAAATGGTAGGTTAAGACTGTACTGTCTAACCTTGGATGTCATCAAGTCGAGGAGAAGGAAAACTGAATTTTAAACTGTGTAAATAATTCGCAGATTATTTAAAGGCAGAATTTTTTTTTTTTTTTAGATTGTAAGATTTTTTTTTTTTGAGATAATAATGGTTTAGTGATACAAGTCTTACTAATTAACCCATAGCTGGGAGGAGACGAGGTGGATTCAGACGTTTCTCAAATGTATTTGCGCGTAAGAGAATATAAAGAACCCAACGGGAATCCGTTTAACAATTTCGAGATACTATCCATTACACCACCCGCACATCCAAGCTTACAGCACCTGGTATTTCCAAGTGGTCACCCATCTAGGTGCTGACCAGGTTCGGCGTTGTTTAACTTTGGTGATCGTACAGGAACCGGCGTTTCAACCTGATGTGGCCGCAAACCTGAAACAATTTTTCTTTCCGGGTTGTTACTGACAAATATATTCCACTGGCTGATGATTATGATGATGATGATGATGTTGAAAATTTTTGCTTCGGCGATCGGGGCTATTGCTAATCGTTTTGATGCTGTTGTCAACGGCGTTGCTGGCGACGTCAATGATGATGACATGGATTTTGAATAATAATGTGCCCCGGATTACTATTTAGAGAATAATGATAAAAAAAGCTCGTGTATTTATCAACTTAAAAACAGGCAGAATTTTTCGCACCAGTCACTAAATTCTCATATGGCATGGGAAAATCTAAGAAGTTGGGTGAGGACGTGGAAAATGGCTAATACCCGCTGAGAAATAGTCAGGAGCAACGACTAATTATCAGAATAGTTTGGGATCCTCTCGGGGACCGATAGAAAATGGGATTTAGTTTGAATCCCAATGTGAAAATATATATGACCCTTATTGCTCTCGATCTTATGGTTTTAATTGGGCGATTTAAACAGAACGACTCTAAACTTTCGCGCGCAAGCCCGTGTGTGAAAATACTCCATGTTTGTATTATTGGTATTAACGATAGGTGTTTCATTTTAGGTCTGATGTAACGTTTTGAATTTCAACGTATTAGCAGTTGATGTTAAACCTGCATCGTAATAAGAAAAATAGGAGTTTAACTACTAAATTGCCAACATCAAAACTGTTTATCAAATTTTCCATATTTATTTAATGTTCCAGTATTCTTCACTTAATGCGTTTATTTACAATAATAATTACAATTATAAGTAATATTCGTCATTAGGCAGCAATAAGGTCATCAGTTTTACTTTGTAAACAAGAAATGATAATAAACTAAATATACGTAGGTGATCATGACTCTCCACATTTCTTTTTTATTATCAATGAATTGGCATGCATTCTAGGGAAAGATAGTGAAGTGGTTTCCCGTTGCCTTCTCCACAGTATGGATTTAGTTCTTTTTTCTTCTTTTAGACCGATTGCCACCCAGGACTAGAGAGCCTAACAGATTAAATACTGTGGAAGAGGCAACTGGAAACCACTTCGCCATCTTTCCCTCGAATGTCCATAAATGGAAGGAAGGAAGGAAGGAAGGAAGGAAGGAAGGAAGGAAGGAAGGAAGGAAGGAAGGAAGGATAGATAGATAGATAGATAGATAGATAGATAGATTCTCAGGATTGTTTGTACAAAAGGTGAAAAGGCATGAAGCTGTCTATTACTTACTACTTAACCCTTTGAGCCCTGAGTTCATGAACAACTTTAACCCATCTGCCTGAGCTCCTGGATCAAAATTGGCAAATAATTGGTGCGTAATGTTTCACGGTAGATATAAAAATAGTTACAAGTGTTTACCCACCGTTCAACCGGTGACTGGACATTAAGTCATTTTTCTCTACCATTGTTCAACCGGTGGCTGGGCATTACGTCTTTTTTTCTCTATCACTGGAAAAGCGGTGATCAGGGCTCAAAGTGAGTTAAGTGAGTTTCGGTAAAATTAATGACGTGCCTCGAAGTGTACAAATTTTAAAGATATGCCTTTACATAAAGAGATAAAAATATCAGCCCTTTTGAGTATAGTTCATTGGTTAGGAGCATATATCTAAAAGCCACGAGCCATTAGAATTTTGGAAATGTTTCTTTTTAATGAAGAAAGCATGGTCGGTGATGCCCACACAGAGTGTAAGTAACTGCTATTTCTCGAAAATATACTTATACAATTAGGGTAAATCACGAAAGGCTAATGATACTCTTTCTTTCTTAAAAGATATATTCATTTCGAGAAGATTCCGGTGGCAATTGCCAGTCATTCTAGATCCACTAAATTTCCTGAATTATAACAAGATCAGCGGCAATGCAACGGATCGCAGGTATCGTCTTAATATTACACTTTATGTTGTTGAAAGAGAGTAGAAATTTCTTAAAATTCTTCAACAAGAGACACAAAATTGTATTAATACTTGTAAAATCTACCAGCGATGGCCGATTGGACTGATAGCTTCTAATTGGGTACTACATCTACGCCGGCGAGAGCTAGAGTTATCTAAAGTTTTCTCAGATAAACACAACTCACCGTAACGCACGTCACATTGAATATTTTACAGGTAAAAAGCAAAGATTATAATGATTTTCTAAGCAGAGCTCAGATATGGCACAAGGTCGAAAGTATGAGGCACCCAGTGAGGATCGAACTCATTACTCAGTCGCAATTGTTCTAGCGAGACAAGCTTGCTAACCATTACACCGCCCCAAGATGCCCAAAATCAAAGCCTATAATTTGTAAATTATAAATTCTTAAAAAGTCAATTGTGCTTGTTTATATTGTTTACATTTTAACTTTTTACCTTAATTGTTCAGTTTAAAAGAACAGATTCAAATTTAGTTTGTTTAAAATGTTAAGCAGACGAACTTGTAAATACACGTGTAAAAGTTTTTACATGTCTATAAACGTTTAAAATTCTTATTTTAATAATATCATGTGAGACTGCTACTTCATGCATTTGCACATCAGTCAGTCAGTTATGTGCAATGGGTGATACACGCTTAGGCGATCATGTATCTTTAGATACATGACTGACGAGGCAGATTTTTCCGCAGTAGGTTGCCATTTCTTTCTGCAGTAGACCAGTTGCCATCCAAGGCTATAGAACCCGGTGTGTCCTGCAATTTACCCATAGCTGGATGGAGAAGAAGACGATTAATACCTTTCCAAGAGTATTTGAGCGTAAGTGAATATCAGTCATTTATGTGCCATGCGTGATACATGATCGCCTAAGCATGTATATTTTGATACATGTCTGACGAGGCAGATTTTTCCCGCAGTAGGTTGCCATTTCTTTCTGCGGTAGACCAGTTGCCATCCAAGGCCATAGAACCCGATGTGTCCTGCTATCCACCCATAGCTGGGTGGAGAAGTGGAGGATTTATACCTATCCCAAGAGTATTAGCACGTTTCAGTTTCCCATAGAACCTATTAATCCAGTGATACACAATGTATACCCTACACAAAATGATATGGCGATGCAACTAAACAAGCTCAAGGCCGCTTAATTCCGGAGCGACCCCAGAAGCAACTTTTTTAATGAATTATTTTTCAACGAAATCAATGCAGTTTTTGTGTAGATAATCAATTACTAAACAAAATGACATGTAAACCAACGCATTTCATTGGTAGTAGCTTCGTTTCGTTTATGGAAACTGTTTCTGGCTTTACAAAAATCAAATCCAAATCTAACGAAATAAAAAAAAATCTTTTTCAGCCAATTGGAAATGTTTAAAAAGCCAAAAGACTTTGGTTCGAGGAATTTGAGTGACATTATTACGATTGATCTTCCATTTGTCAGTCGTTAACCAGATCCAAAGGTCGAAGTCAGCGACCCAGCGAAACCTGATTTTATTAATCTTAACCCTCTTCTTGCCGGGGTAAAAATATCAAACACGCCGCTAATTTTAACAAGATGCACAACAGCACACCACTCTCAGCTTAACTTAAATCCTTCATGCACACATCACTAAATAATCTTGAAATAGTAACCCTACAACGAAATCCTCTCTTACATTCAGATTACACTTCTTACAAAAAAACTCTTCTTATTTGTAATTTATTAAGTTATTTAAATTCAAAAGAAAGGGTTATTGAAATAACTTTCCTTTCACAAAAACTGAACACTCAACAACAACAAAAATATTCATAGAATTAAAAGTACAATTTATTTGAGGTATTATATATAAGAACTGTACACGCATTTATAAGCTAAAGTCCAGGATGGTCCGAAAGTCTTGTCACCCCAACGTTTCGGAAGTTTAAATATCCGGGACGTGTTCTGACAGGGGACAGCAGGTGCGACACCGAGATCCGTAGACGTATTAGGGGGGTCAAGAACGCATCCCCAAAACAGGGCAGAGTATTACGAGAGGAGGATTTCTTTGGTAACAAAGAAAAGAGTACTGAGATGTTACGTGACATCTGTCCTCCTTTACGGCAGCGAATGTTGGATGATTTCCTCAAAGATGAAGAAGAGACTCGAGGCGACAGAGATGTGGTTCTACAGAAGGATGCTGAGGATATCATGGACCAAGCGTGTGAGCAACGACGAGGTCTTGGAGAGGATGCAAACAAGGAGGAGACATACTTGACATCAGGAAGAGACAGCTGAAGTTTCTGGGACAGGTAATGAAAAAAGGAAGGCCTGGAGAATCTGATACTCACAGGTCGAATAGAGGGAAAGAGAGACAAAGGAAAGCAACGCATGACATGCCTGACGGGCTTAAGCAAGTGGATGACAGAACACGGCCTGGGGGAGGTAACAGAGGGAAGGAACTTATTGAGAGCTACAAGTGATAGGGAAAAGTGGAGAGCCATGATCGCCTACGTACTGAAAAGACACGGCATATAAAAAGAAAAGAATTTCAGATGGCTGACACAAGCTACTACAGTTTGGAAGACAGACTTTGAAAGAGTAGGGACACATGATATGTGTGCATTCTAGCAAGAGTATGGAAAATGTGCGACATGACTTTACTGCAAGATTCGGCAACCCAGCTCCCCAATAGTGCGATGGGAACATAAACTGTTTCTCACAGGATCAATTAAGGACAAACTGAGGACAGGATGACCCTCAACGCGAAGGGACACATGTGCAGAGGTGGAGGCATCTGTACTACGATAACCCAAGAAGTCACTATGAAAACGGTCTTCCGAGATAGGAATACCCAACACCACAATGTTAACACATATGACAAAGGATCTTGATTTGAAATCGTTTAAGACATCATTCGTCATTGGTAAGGTGTGACAAGACTTTCGGATCACGCTGTATATAAGAATTGTACACACATTTATACTTTAATTTACTGAACCTTTTCTTTACTAAAAGCAGCATGAGTAAAGAGATTACATTCTTCGTCAGTCTTAACTCCTACATTAACCGTTCAAAATATAGAGTCGGGATGCTGAAGATAACATCAATAAGCTATATATATATATATATATATATATATATATATATAATGAAAAGGATTAAGTCCGTCAATTATTTAATATATATATTAAATAATTGTCGAACTTAATCCATTTCAATATATGTTGTCATTGTTTACGTTAAGATACGTTTTGTGAGCAGAAATGATCGATCGAGAAAAATCTTCGCACATTGTGGGTTTATAAACAGTAATTCGGACCTTTTCTAACCAGACGTTTCTTTGTAGCTGAATAGCACGTCAGATCAAATGGGGTTTCCGTATAGGAATACAATTTCGATTCCTGTTTGGGAACGCATATTTTCTACGAAATTTTTTGAACATTCAGGCCGGTAAATGTAATTAATAATGTTTAATTAAAATTAAAAACAGTGCATTTACATAAATACATATCACACACGCACACACACACACATATATATATATATATATATGCGTCTGTGTGTGTATGATATTATATTGCTTTTGGATATATATATATATATATATATATATATATACGGAATAAAAAACGTATTAAAAAAAAGACATTTAGCAAGAAACATCTAAGTCGGAAAAAGCCACAATAAAAAATTGAATTTAAAAGTTAAGTAAGGTTTTTATAATATTATATATATATATATATATATATATATATATATATATATTTAAGTTTCTCAAGTTCATATGGACACCATCTTAAATTTTAATGAAATTTCAGGTGACACCTTTTCTAGAGGAAAATCAGTTCTAAAGATTTCTCCTTTATTGAACAAAACACAATTCAGTAATTATGGCAATATAAAATTTGCGTAAATGTACATTTCGCTAACTGCAAGCATTATTTTTTTTTTTTTTTTTTTACCAAGGACTCTATAAGAAAATATGTAGCAAATCTGGAAGTGACACTGACAGATATCAAGATGGCACATGAAAAAGAAAAAGTTAACATACAACAAATCTATGGACGGCTTGAATGGTTATATATATGAGGAAAGGGCGGCAGAGAATCACTTGTGAATTAAAACACAATGATTAGACTTACAACATTTTTTTTGCTTACAACAAAAAGGTCTACCGTATTTCCCTATCTATTTATTGCCCGTCAGATTTTCTTACGCTCTAAGTATGACGATAGACTACATCCGGCAGTAAGGTCACTGATCGGGAGATTGAAGGTTTTGAGAAGCGTGGAACCGCCTCTTAATTGTTGTTGTTCCCAGGTCCACCCTGACCCAGGGCAGTAGCACCTGTTAAGGTTCTAGCTATGGGTAAATAGTGAACGCCAAAACAAAATTCATAAGTACATTTTTATTGTAAAATTACCAACAATACGTTTTTTTATGATAAAATTACCCGCAATACATTTTTATAATAAAATTACTAACAATTGTTAGTAAAATTATTAACAATACATTTTTATAGTAAAATGAAAAGCAATACATTTGTATAGCAAAATGACAATCAAAACAATACTAAAAAAGTATAAAAATACATCTTTATAGTAAAAAAATGACCAGAAATACATTTTTATAAAAAAATACCAAGAATAAATTTTTGTAGTGAAATTAGCAGTAAAACATTTTTAAAAATAAAATTGACAAAAATAAATTTTATCATCTACAAACTATATATCTGAAAATAAACATCCGTCTACCCTGAAGGTGTGAATTTATCTACAAAATATTTGTAGTTGAAGACATTTAAATTATGTTCAAAATATTTAGATTTTGGCATTAAATGACACATAGAGGTTGATAAACAAAATTAACAAACAGAATGGCAATCCGACTAATGAAATGAAAGAAGACTTTCCAAACTAAAACGGATCAAAAAGTTACTTGAAATTGTCACTTCAGCAAGAACGCTTGAACAGTTTGGTAATTACATGCATTGAAGCTGAAATTAGCAAGAGTTGTACAAAAAAATCCTAAAAATCTTTTACAAAAAAACATAACAAGAAAAATAACATCGTCATAAATAAAAATAATAATATGAATCATAATATCCATTAATGTTAAGAAATAACTGAAATATCTATTTGGTCCATTAACACAAATGCACTTTTTAAGTACATATTTTCATTGCTTTGCATTCTACCGTAGAGATAAAGTCTATAATAGACTTTATTTATATCTTTATGGTTCTACAGACTTTGACTGTGAACCTAGGTGCCCCACCAAAAATGTTCCCAATTGGTCCCCCTGGTATGGCTCAGTGGTTACAAAGGAACCTAAAGACCAACATGTTGGCGGCGGAGGCTCCATCCTTACTACTAAACTGGTTGACACTTGCTATTACGTGTTTAACAAGGACGGTGGAAATATAGGCTAAAGCAAAAAAGGCCTCTTTTTTTCAGTGGGATTAGTTTAGTGTTTATTATTGCTTTTCCTTCATTAAGAAAAGTGATTCATGCACAAAAAAAAAAAAAAAAAAAAAAAGCAAATCTACCAAAATGTTTATAAAAGTTTAAATTAAATATTATTCGCATTTCATAGGAACAATTATTTAAAGAAAAAACAATGAAATTGGCATTATTTTTGACGAAAAAGTATTTTTAAAATCAAATTCATGTTCTTTCTTATTGTTTTAAACTTTTTCTTAAAAGAAAAAAAAAAAAAAACAAACTTTCATCACTAAAAGATCCTTTATATTTCAACTTATAATTTTCAATAATTTTTATTACCAAGATTGGCATTTTACCAAAACAATTTTCTTGAGATTAGTTGAGATGTTTGAAAATTCTGGCACCAACACCCTAACACCCTCACTTGCCAGTTTCCAATTATTATATTTTAATTTATCTTTTTCGGCAAGTAAATAAATATATTTTAAACCGTGTGTATACTTCTTCTTACACATAGGTGTTGTAAGCATTCTCCGAAAAGAAACATTCACTCACACATCATACGATATCATGAATACACACTTTTATTTTAAATATAGGCTTATATTCACACGTTTACTCATGTATGCACCTGTTTACATATATTTTAACTGGAAGACAAAAACGTGTTTATGGACGTGTTTAATATTTATTGTTCGAACTGTTCTGTTGATACTAAGTTTCAATGTGTTTACTTTTGAAATAAACAAATACAAGTATATTATTTTAAAAAAATGTTTGAATGAATAAAAAGAGTCAACTCAATAAATACAATACAAGACCCTTTTCCATGACTGCGCACGCCCACACACACCACACACCGGCGCATGGATATGATATAAAACGAAATCACATTTACAAACAAAAAACAATTATGAAAACCAATTGAATGTATTAGAAATGTTTGTTTTGTTAAGAAAAAACAGCAATATGATCATTTCAAATATATATGTATGTATATGTATATGTATGTATGTATAAATAATATCACACATTATGTAATTTTTTTAAAATTTAAATACTTGAATTGAAAATAAGAACCGGTTCGTTATCACATCGTGGTCTTACTCTTCCATAGAACTAACACTAACAGGGACTTAGTTTTAAAAAAACGAAGAAAAAGAAAGCTTCTCATCGTTACTTACAGATCTTTGGGTGGTAAATCCTTAGCCTCCCCTATTCGTACGTAAAGTATTGTGTGTCTTACAGCCATGGTAAAATGTTGTCCAAGAGAGTTCAGTTTTCTTATTTATTATTAGAGAAAGTATAGAAAGAAGTGTTTGAAAAGTGGGAATTGTATTTTAAAATAATAGATTGAAATGAGTTGCAGTGTGTGCTTAGTATTGAAAGATACTGAAAGAGAAAGAGGAAAGTAAGAGGTGTTGTGAAGATTGGGAGGACGCAGTGAAAGTGAAGCGAGTGAGTATCGGATTAAAAAAGGAAAAGGAAAAGAAAGGTATGAATGGAGCTAAAAAAAAAAAAAAAGAGAAAAGGGAAACTGAATGTAGACGAAGAGTGGGAATGGGGGATACAACTGTGTGGGGAGAAAGAAAAATAATAGAATAGAAAAGAAAGAGAAAAAAAACGGCAGAGAGAGAGAGAGAGAGAGAGAGAGAGAGAGACTCGCAAGTCGATTTTTTTTCTCCTCTTCTCTCTGCTATACTGTTGCTACTTAGTCGTAGCAGCGCGACCAGTGTCTTGTGTAAAAAGTTCTACGTTGGGAACAGGGAATGCGACCCCAGTTGCGGTACGTCCGCTCGCTGGAGCACTGACAAGAGAATGAGAAATCGAGAAGACCGGGCGAGATATATAGGCAGGGACAAGGAGCTAGTCTCTCTGCACACATCCGTGAATGGAATTGCCAAAAAAAACTTCTTACGAAATATCAGATTTTTTTTTTTTTTTACGATTTACTGAAATTAAAAAAAAAAAAAACATTGAAAAGAAAATGATTATTAAATTCTTAACTCTTTTAACAGTAACACTTAAAGCCTTAAGTTAAGGTTTTAATTTTGAGAATTCAAACTTAGCAGAAAATTCGTGTGGGGAGGTGAAAGTGAAAGAGAGAGAGAGAGAGAGAGAGAGTGTGTGTGTGTGTGTGTGTGTGTGTGTGTGTGTGTGTGTGTGTGTGTGTGTGTGTGTTGGTCTGAGAGAGAACATGTGTGGGTGTCTGTGTGTGTGTTTTTTGGTAGGAGTGTGTGTGTGTGTGTGTGTGTGTGTGTGTGTGTGTGTGTGTGTGTGTATGTATGTATACGTGAGAGAGAAATAGTGTGCGTGTGTGTAATTTGTGTGCTGAGGAGAGAGAGAGAACAAGAAAGAGAGAGCGAAAAAGAATAACAGCAAGAAAAAAAGAGTGATAATGTGTGTGTCTGTGTGTGCAGCATTTCATACAGAGTTTGTCTGTGTGTTTGCGTGTCTATGTGTCTGTGTATGCGCGCGCTCGCGCGTATAAAACTGTAACCCGCATCCTCTGGTAAAAAGTGCAAGAAATGGAGGCGGGTGGGTTTTTTTTTTGTGGGGTGGGGGCTGCTCGTTACACACCAGGACTGTACACAGTGTTACTGTTATAGTATTAATTACTCAATTACAGTTACGATTGTTTCATTTTTTGGGTTACTGTTTGTATGGAATAAATGTCAATATTGACTTCTTAGATTTTTTTTTCCATTTCCTGTCAACTGCGATCTATCTTTTCTCTCTCTCTCTCTCTCTCTCTATCTATCTCTCTCTCTCTCTCTCTCTCACACACACACACACACACACACACACAGTCCCTGCCTTTTTTTTTTTTGCATAATACATAGAAAAAGAGAAAGTGTTAAAAATTATAGATGAAAAACATATAAAAAATATAACGAAAAAGAAGGAAGAAGCCGAATAAAAAGAAGGAAAAAAATACGAAGAGAATCACTCATCCGATCAGAAAAATTAAAATATTAGGAATCCCAATATGAGGCTGAGGAGGTAGGAGTGTCATGAAAAGAGAGATGGAACGAAAACATCCTCTTGCAAATGGATCCTTTATTGCTACAACTATGAGTGAACGTAAATGTGACGATACAATGTTAACTTTCTTTACGTTTCTTTCTTTTTTCACACTTTGTTTTATGTTAGTCGTATCAGTTATATATTTTGTGTGTATATTTTATTTACAGGCGTTTTCACATTGCATATGCGTATTATTGTGATGGACTGTTGTGAAGAAGTCGTTCGACCAACCGGTTGTTGGTCAACTTGTTGGAAGCGAGATTTCATGGTAAAATATTCTCAGGAAAACCATGTTGACAGCTTCTTTTTTTTTCTTCTTCTATCTTTAAAATTTTTTTGTATTACCTGAATTTAAGCGTCAGTTCTTTATATATATATATATATATATATATATATATATATATATATATATATATATATATATATATATATATATATATATATATATATATATATATATATAAAACTGATCATTACTTGAAAATGTAATACATACATCAGAATAATTCCTTTAAAACAATTGAAAATTCTGGGTCATATGAGGAAAGAAAGCTTGGAGAATCTGACCTTCGCAATATCAACAGTAGGGGACAAAAAGCAAGAAATAAGGGACTAACTGAATTGAAATTGGTGTTCAGTTTAGTTAGTCCCTTATTTCTTGGGAAGAAAATATAAGCAGTACACATTGAGAGGAGGAGGACCCGATGTCGATAAACATTTGTCCTATCAGTGTTTACAGAGTTTTAGATTGAAATCAGAAACAGAAGAATTCATAGTCGACCCTTAAAATGAAAACATCCCAACAAATTCTCCTCAGTCACATATTTTAATGACTACATGTCCAAAATATCGCCTTTGTACAAATGCTGACGAAAGCATTGACAATCTAATATCTGGATGTTCTACTCTGTCCTCAAATAAATTTAAATATAAACATGGGCGTGGATGGGAAACACCTGCATTGGAAGATATGCAAACATTATCACCTTCTCCATGCAGAAAATTGGTATGAATACAAACCATTACCAGCTCTAGAAAGTGAAAAATGTGATAATACTGATAGTAGCTATAGGTATAATGAAAAGAATACTGAGAGACCCATGAAGAAAATCCCCCACCTCAAATCTCGCTCACATACCCATTAACAACATCACGGTTAAAATTAGAGTGTCGAGAAAATTGCTGCAATATTATCTGTCGCTGGATTTTCAATGAACGCCACCACTTATCACTGGTGTGAAATCTCGACGATTTCATAATAATAATAATACAGAAGGTCCTCGGGTTACGTCGGATTGGACTTACGGCGTTTCGTGGTTACGTCGCCATCTCCCATATGCAGCGCTATATGAGGAAGACGGTGTTGCCATACTGGATTCTGATACATTCGCTATCTATCCTTTGTGGGTAACTTATTGCCCTTCATTATGGCTCCATAGCATAAGACAGACTCGTGGGTGTTTATGTCGGTGAATTTCGACCTACGTCGAAAATCAGGTTACGTCGTGCCATAGGAACGGTTCTCCGACGTAAGTCGAGGACCCCTATATATATATATATATATATATATATATATATATATATAGTGAACATTGAAGTCAACACTTAGAACTTTGAGTGTTGACTTCAATGTTCACTTTTATATTTATATTTATATACGCTCTATCTCTGATATTGAGCACTTTATCCAATAATTATAGCACACCTTAAAACTATATTTCTTCATATATATATGTGTGTGTGTGTGTGTGTGTGTAGAGAGAGAGAGAGAGAGAGAGAGAGAGAGAGAGAGAGAGAGAGATCATTTAATAGACGTCAATATTTTATGCTAAAAGAGTATAAACAAATAAAAAGTGACTGTTGTGCCTTTGTCTGTAATTGGGACATGAAGATGACGATTATAGTGATAATACAAGGCCGTTGCAGAGAACAAATATTTGGGGGAGGGACAAAAAATATTAGAATTTAGCCTTAAGTTATCAAAGGCCGCCAGCATTGTTAGTAGCAAGAACATTTAAAATTTCCAGTACCCCCTTGCTTTGATAGATTTTTTTTCTTCCTTGTATTTCTTTCTTTATTGCATTTTGTTAAATTAAAACTCTATTGGTAAAATTTTGGTGGGTACCAAGAACCCCCAGCTCCTACAGCCCTGTAATAATTGGTCCGTTTGGAACGCTCTTGAAGAGATTTGCCAAATAAATTATAAAGAAAAAGATAACAACATTAGTAAAATTAACAACGATGCCAATTAAGCGCAAGACAGAGAAGCAAAAAACTACTCTAGAGATATTAACGCACTGAAACTTATAATAATAACAATAATAAGATAAACGTATGGAATGTGGGAGGTTGTATAAAAATTCCCTGGCTAATTGTATCTACTATACATTAAGGAATCACCAAAGGTGATGATGGGTTCAGAGCGCCTTTTCTCTTTTTGTGGAGGTTGACATTTATTCTTTATAATTGATATTTCTTTCATTTATACTACTAAATACCACGAAGGTAAAAAAACGCTTCAATCCCAAAGCAATTAAAGGAAGAGGCAGGGTCGTTGGCATAATGGGGTAGAGTCGTTGGGATAATGGATGACACTCGGGACAACACAGTATTACTAAAAGAATATCCTTCGCATGGCTGTAATGAATGTGTCAGTTTGAATATAAAATCACTGACTCTTTAGGTCTAGTATCAGTTAAAAGGAAACATCAAAGACACTTGAGATACCAGATGGAGTTAAGAATTTATGTTTATGTCTATAAGATACTTTCTTCCTGATATTCTTTTTTATTTTGCAGTAGCATATTTAATAGTTGTAGATCAGGTTCGAACTCATTCCATTGCTCGTGATTATCCATGATGCAGCAAATTTAGATAACGGATTTAAATGGTAGTAAACAGAATGGACCCAGACGACGTCCTGTGGCAACTGGCTCTTTTACTAACAAAATGGCGTACAGGGTACTGCAATATGACAGTTGCCTAAAAAAAAAAAAAAAAAAAAAAAAAAAATTGTATCAAAAACAAACGTGTACTTTTTTTTTTTTTGTTTTTTGTTTTTTTTTGTTTTTTTTTTAATCATTTCACCCCAAGCAAGGCAGGAATTCCACTAGTAGGCATGAGGGTGAAATTTAGAGGGAAAAAAAACTGGGTATAGAGGAGATTGAGAAAAGGATAAAAAATGAACGGGATTCAAGAAGACAGAAGACTGCGATTGACGTTTGTTGTGGCCTTGTTAGGGCCAGAAATAAAGACACAAAGAGAGGAATTGAATTAAACAAATATATTAACAGAAACAGTAATATAAACATATACAAACGAGAATGTTACAGCAAGAATGTTCGGTCCGACTGTCAGAGCTGACTGTAGAAACGTCCCTCTCCAAAAGGCAGTACCTGCTCCTATTTATAGCTGGGAGAGTCCATGCGTGCGTGGGTAAATTACCATAACAACGTTGAATTTAAATTTTCACAGAAGCAAGTAAACAGAGGGAAATTGCACAGACGGGAAGTGCGAGAAAACAAACTGTTCGAGTAGAAGTGGCGTTTACATTTAACTATGTCAACAGTAAAAGTATGGTACCTAGATGCCAATCTTCTAGTACATTTAAATTCATGTAGTCGAGGCACCAAAGAAAAATGCTTGTCAGAGCAGTAGCCATTAAAATATTTGTAAAAAAAGACATAGGGAGACCACGTCACGTCGGTGAGAAAGTGTCTGAAATCGAGATGCCAAGTCAAGATCGATTACATTACAGATCCTTCTTTGGATTTTGTCTAGAACTTCGAGATGAATCGCAGTAACACCGGACCAGATATGGTAGCAGTATTCAATGCATGGACGAATGGCAGATTTGTAAATGTACAAGATGGACTGTGACGAGAAAAACCTTCTGGCACGACACAGAGACCCAACTTTCCTTACAGTAGAAGTAGATATTGATTCAATATAGCCGTTCCACATCAAGTCAGTTGAAAACGTGAAGCCAAGAAGGTGCAGTGTGTTGTTCTCCAGCCATACTGATGGCGGGTAGGGCAGTTTCTCTATGGTGATTAAATGAGAGCAGTTTCGTTGAATTGTTCCTATGAAAAAAAGATGAAACGAGATCCTGTTCATTGTAACGAGACCATGGATTTGCAGACCAAACTAAACAGATCCTGAAGAAAAGTTGATTTATATATATATACATATATATATATATATATAAAGTCATCCACAGACAGACTGTTTCGCTATTTCACAGCTCTTCAGTGTGGCCAGACATCCGGTTGCCTCTAGCTAGTGATCGAAATCCGACTGAATTGGTGTCAGTTGGAGATTCTACCATTAAGCCGTTGGCGCACGGCAGGGACGAAGGTGAATTTTAGCGTATTTATTTTTAGATAAACACACACAGTGACCGACAGTGACTCAATTCGCTTTTGCCGAAGAGTCTTGCTATATCAGCCGTAATTGTCACTGTTTACAAACCCACACTTCCTTCCCCAGAGAGCTCAACCGAAATTAATTTTTCAGGAGCCTATAGAATGCCATCCGCAGACAGACTGTTTCGCTGTATCACAGCTCTTCAGTGTGGATAGACATCCGGTTGCCTCTAGCTAGGATCGAAACCCGACTGAATTGGTGTCAGTCGGAGAATCTACCACTAAGCCGTCGGCGCACGGCAGACACACACACACACACACACACACACACACACACACACACACACACATATATATTATTTTTTTATATTTTAATATATATATTCGAGCGGTGTGAAAAAAAACTAGATAATACAATTTGTAAATAAAAATATTGAACAAACCGATATCAGGAGGAAAAGATCAATAAAAAAAAAGAAAAAACTAAAAACATCCGTACTGCTTGAAAATAATCAATCAGCACTGGAGTGTCTAGCCAAAAGAAAAAAAAAACTGCGACAGAGTAACTTAAGCTAAAACATAGAAGGGCTCAATACACTAAGTAGAGCAAAAACTGGCCGTTTTTTCCAATAAAACGTCGTTTGGGCTAACACTCTTTAGCCAGTATTACCCTTATGATCCGTTAGGAGAAACCTAGGTAAGTAGCGTCTGGTTCACTATATATATATATAACATGAAATAATAAGGATACTAATAGAAAACTTCTCTGCAAGAAAATTTTAACTGAATGAAATCAGCTAAATTAAAAAAAAATTATGTCAACAAACAGGCCATTCTATTTCTAAGAGCTACTAAACTACTAAACTAGAAAGTGAAATGAAGAAAGTTAATATCCTACTGCAA